TATGTATATATATATATATATATATTAAGCTAAATCGCAATATCATCCAGTCTGAAGTAAGTTTTGTACTTGAAGGAATGTTTTGTCATATAAACAAAATGTGTTTCATAATATGTAAATTAACTCAATTTAGGAGGAGGAACTAGATCAAATTGAAGTAATGCATGCTAAAAGGATATTATTTGGACAATTTGAGTTTTTTTTTAATAATCTAGTAGAATAAATTGTATGTAAAGACATGCATTGTAGCTTTTATCTTTATCAAAGATGAAAAAATGCAAGTATTATTTTTCTTTCTTTCTTTATTTTTCACCTCTATGTGTAGTTTACTTGCATCTGAGACACAGGAACACTTCCACTGATTCATTCACTGTGACTCAAGCTATAGCACTTCTGTCTCCATTCACAGGCAGATACACACCAGGCGACAGAGCACAGATGGAGATGAGGAGTCATGAAAGACTCTTTATAAATTTGATTAATGAGGAGACTGCAGGCTGTGAGAATGACAACTGCACCTGATTTTGTTAGATGCTGTAGATTGACATTATTCTTATTAAAAAATACAAATTAAAAAAAGGCCATAATTCCTTAAGTCCCGTTTTAGTTTCAGACTATGGATATAAGATAATGGGGGGAATCCTAACCAGGCTATACACACTCAGAAAAAAGGTACAAAAGCTGTCATTAGGGTGGTACCTTTTAAAATGATAGACCTTTGTACCATTTTTACCCCTAAAGGGTGCATAGTAAAACCGTAAAGGTACATATTATTTCCTAAAGTAAGCCTAAATATTAGTATGGTATAGGCTACATATAAATATTTTAATAATTATAAAAATATTTTGATTTTAGTTTATACATTTTATAAGTTTACATATACATCGTACAAATTTGAGATTAGGGAAAGAAATGTAATATTTCAGAACAAATTTTTTTTTCCCCACTAAATTTGCCTTCCATTTAAAAGGTATTGAATTGAAAATGTTTTACTTTATGTTTACACATATACTCTCAGAAAAAAAGGTACAAAGCTGTCACTAGACTGGTACCCAAAGGTACAAAAGCTAAATGGTACATCTTTGTATCTTTACCGCTAAATGGTACATATCAGTAGGCTACCTTAAATGTACATAGGCCTACTCTATTAGTAGGCTACTTTAAAAGTAGGCCATGTATTATTACCTAAACTGTACATAATAGTACCTTTTGAAAGTAAGTGTAAAGCCCCAGTGACAGTTTTGTATTTTTTTTTCTGAGAGAAACCTAATAAGAAACATTTTCAGTTAGAATAAATTACATTTTAAAACTGAACCACGACTCTAATCATAGAAAGGAGGGTAATGTCTGCTTAATAAATACTTTTCTCACTCAGCATATATGACTTTTGATACATATACATATCTGTTTTTTTTTTTTATTTTAGGAAGAGATCCCTTCCAATGGGATCAAATTTGCTTCTTGCGTCCTTGGCATAAAATGTTTGAAAACTTTTTCCTTGCGTCTCAATACATCGCTCATATCGATGGTATCGACACTTGATTTGCTCACATCAGCTCTGTGTTCGATTAGTAATGCCTTGTTCACTCCACGTGCACTTGTTTGGGGAAAGATGGCGGCTCCCACTAGCGAGATTGAAGAGGTCGCTGCGAAAAAACCAAATGGTGAGTATTAATAGTTTGATTTTTTAATACTTCATCGTGTTTGCGATATCTGTCATCTATAAAATCCAGATCGGTTTTTAAAAGAAACATCGAGATAAATCTGCATGCGCTAATTCTGTCTGATGCTGTGTGAAATACATGGTGCCTTATAAGATATATTGCGGTCTATGCTAGTACTAACCTATGTTAGTACTACAGATGTATTCAGAAATGTTCTTATGTGATCTAAACTAGTATGTGTTGCTGCAGTTACATATTAACACCGGGGCTAGTTGTCACACAGGGACGTTGTGAAAAAGGGGTCATATGATGCTGCTAAAAAGAACATTATTTTGTGTATTTGGTGTAATGAAATGTGTTTATGCGGTTTAAAGTAAAAAAAAAAAAACATTATTTTCCACACAATGTACATTGTTGTTGCTCCTTCGTCCACGGTGAAAGCTGATCCGGCGATCCACAGCACTAAGTTATGTGGAAATACATCCCCTGAGGGGATGTATTCCCTCAGCGACCAGCACAGATCAGCTCTAGGCATGACGAAGCGGATATCGTCCTCTTTTGGAAGACCAAACAAAGTAGTTTCGCTTTCACAACGAAGCACACAGCGTCTTCATGACATGGCGGCAGCGGCAACAATACTACAGTGAGAATAAAAGTTACAAAAGTTAAAAAGTTAAAAATCGCGGTTGCTGCGGTTCTTGCATTCCTCTGCGGTTTGCTCATCAATAGCGCGATATTGCGGTTATCGCGACAGCCCTACATACACCACCAACTATTCATTATATAAACCGTAGTCTATGTTGCTCAACAGAGAAATTTTATTTTTTTTCTGTATAGTATAATATACAGAAAATATTGTTGTCTAATAACTGTTAAAGATAAAAATGTGTGACACCTGGTCCCCATAGATGTGTAAATGCAATTAATGTGTGTTGATGTGGTCTCTGAATATTAGGTACCATGGTTTTTCAAATGGTTAACTAATCTCACTCAAAACATTTGTTTGAAATCATATATCATGATTAAATTATGCACAATTGTAAAACTGTAATAGAGGTGCAAAACAACTGGTTGGCTGTCATGAGAAAATAGTTTCAACTTTTGACATCAGTGCTATTTTTGTCTGCAAATTGAAGAGAACTTCTGTGTTTCTTTAAGCTTTACTGACCATGAGATGGTAGCATCACTTGGTTGCAGTAGGCTTGTGATAAATGATTGTGTTTTGTGTATTCCCATCAATCCTGCTGCTCTCAGATCACATGTCTGTCCTCTTCTTACTGCCACCCTTCTTCCTGTCCTCAGCATTTTCAAGCTCACTGCAGATATGTAAGCATTCTGCAATCTGTCTAAACACTGTCTTCAATTTCTTGCTTGCTGTGTTGTCTGGCTGAAAATGGGAATTATTTTAAGAATGATTATAATATTTGTTGTTTTCTGTCATCTATAGTTTTTCATATGTGTTAATTAAAAGTTATACACCCCCTTTGAAGTTTTTCTTACAGCATTGAACCTTTATTTAAATGGTTCTTATTGGCACAATACTAATCCTTTTTTTTTTGTAAATATATAAATACATAGATAATAATGTATTACATTTATTCATAACCATTTTTGCTTAAATAACCCCATTAACTTGGTAGATGAGCTTTACTTGACTTTTTTTTGTTGTTGTTCAAACAGTGACTTTCTCTTTGCCGGTATCCCTACACCACCATTTGTCTCTTGGTGGCAATTTATTTTGAATGCCAGAAGAACACATTATCCGAACATATCGTTTGCCAAGTTATTTTTAAAATTTGCTTCAGGAAATAAAAGACGACTTGGAACCATCGGTGTTTTGAACCGTTTGACTAGTGCAGGGGTAGGCAAGTTCGGTCCTAGAGAGCCGCAGTCCTGCAGAGTTCAGCTCCAACCCTGAAAACAAAACTCACCTGCCTATAGCCTTAGTAATCCTGAAGACATTGCTTAGCTTGTTCAGGTGTGTTTGATTAGGGTTGGAGCTGAACTCTGCAGGACTGCGGCTCTCTAGGACCGAATTTGCCTACCCCTGGCCTATATGAATAATCACGTCAACAAATTCCAAGGTTGCCCAGTTGCCAGATCTTGTATCCCTCGCATCCCTCTCACACAATCGACACATAAAAATGTCGCCCTGTCTCCCGAATTTTGGGACCCAAATGTTGACAGGTATGATCCAGCGCAGAGGAGAGAGCAAAACAAAACACCAGTCACGAATTAGACGTATAAAACAAGGTTTGTAAAGAAAAATGTTGGAGGATTTCGATATAAGCTAAGAGGACCCTGTTTTTTCTTTGCTAAACAAAAGAAACTTTGCTTCCTTTGCTCTCGAGACTGGCATATTCTCACCGGACATTAAGCTACGCCTATGTCCTATGTCAGGGGTAGGCAAGTTCGGTCCTAGAGAGCCGCAGTCCTGCAGAGTTCAGCTCCAACCCTGAAAAAAAAACTCACCTGCCTATAGCCTTAGTAATCCTGAAGACATTGATTAGCTTGTTCAGGTGTGTTTGATTACGGTTGGAGCGGCTCTCTAAGACCCAACTTGCCTACCACTGGACTAGGCAATGGAACAATGCATTAAAGTAAATATAAGAGGTGGGCCAGGGCACGGTTCGGTTGGGCTCGGGCGCGGTACGCATGCAGTGTGAGCGCTAACCGAGCCGGAGCATGGATCAAATACTATTTTGTGTGCGCTACTGTCATCATTACGACCGCAAACATATTCAATTACTACTACTACACTACACTTTTCAATTAATTTAATTTAATAAAGTATGTTTAGGTTTATAATGGCTCTGGTTCTTACCTTATTGATGAACAGGAAATGTAGTTTGCGAGTAAAGCTGCAAATTATTTCATTAACGTCAGCAGAAGAACACATTATCCGAACATATCGTTTGCCAAGTTATTTTTAAAATTTGCTTCAGGAAATAAAAGACGACTTGGAACCATCGGTGTTTTGAACCGTTTGACTAGTGCAGGGGTAGGCAAGTTCGGTCCTAGAGAGCCGCAGTCCTGCAGAGTTCAGCTCCAACCCTGAAAACAAAACTCACCTGCCTATAGCCTTAGTAATCCTGAAGACATTGCTTAGCTTGTTCAGGTGTGTTTGATTAGGGTTGGAGCTGAACTCTGCAGGACTGCGGCTCTCTAGGACCGAATTTGCCTACCCCTGGACTAGCGTGATCGCTCCGTGACGCGCTCGGGCGCGGTTCGTTTAGCCGGCCCTGGCCCGGTTCGGTTGGGCTCGGGCGCGGTACGCATGCAGTGTGAGCGCTAACCGCGCTGGAGCACGGAAAAGATACTATTTTGTGTGCGCTACTGTCATCATTACGACCGCAAACATATTCAATTACTACTACTACACTACACTTTTCAATTAATTTAATTTAATAAAGTATGTTTAGGTTTATAATGGCTCTGGTTCTTACCTTATTGATGAACAGGAAATGTAGTTTGCGAGTAAAGCTGCAAATTATTTCATTAACGTCAGCTGCCTCCGTAATAATTTTCTGATACATACAAGTGAAAATCAATGCACGGCATAAATTAATTATTATTAATTATTCGGCAGAATATTAGCGAAAGTGGTTTTCTCCGTTATCTCATACATGACGTAAGCGTGCTCCGGCCCGGAATGTTTAGTGCAAGTGTGAGTGCTGGCCAGTGGGGGAGGGGGGATAATCGCGCTCAGGCTCGGTTCAAGGCAACCGTGCCTAGTGTGAGTAGGAGTCACGCAATACCAGGTCTATCAAAACTTCTCGCAATCCTTCATTTTTTGGCCTCCGGTTCTTTTCAACGTAGGCTACTGTGGCGTCTTTATTTCTTTATTCTTATTTGCGACTACGCTAATTTGCGCTGCGCTTGGTATATTGCGTTGGTCGATATGTAAACGAGATGTTGCGTCTGTGTTCTTTAATTTGCACATTGTTAGTAAATCACCCGCAGAAATTTCCCCTCCCATCGGCGCTGTTTTGGAATTGGAATTGCGCTAGCGCTAATTTGCCCTGTTTAGTAAATCTGTCCCTAAAAATCTTAATTGTTCCTAACTTTTAACTGGTAGTGTAGGAATAGCCATTCACTAAACTATAGCCAGAACTTGTTACATTACAGATGGTCTGTCTGTCATAGACTTCAAAAATAAATGGACATCGCTGACAGACTCATTCTGCTGATGACTGACCTCTCAGTTCAGCAGCTGTTCTGACAGCACTGATTGATTGTGTGATGATTCATTTTGTATCTGAGAAATGAGTGCATGGGCTTTCCTTGTCTTATTATAGACTGTAGCCCAATCAATTTCTCATAAAAATAAAATTTTTAGTGGAACTTGCTAAGGCAGTTTGTAATTGCACATATACTGTATTGCACTGTATGGTGTCTTTACAGACACTTGTGTTCAGTAATGCTTACAGCAAACTTAAATGAAGTGAATTAACTGTCTTTTTAATGTAGTGCGAGTACAGAGGAGAGTGGCCAATCATATTCCTGACGAGATCCTCAAAGATCCAGAGCTCATTGAGGCCATTAAGGCTTTGCCAGCTAACTACAATTTTGAGATCCACAAAACAATATGGAGGGTGCGACAAGCCAAAGCCAAGAGAGGTGAGTACATTTAACATGTTTGTTTTGAAAAAGTTAATAAAATGGTAAAACGACAGTGCTTTGTTATGCATTTAAGGTTATATTGAGCTATTTACTTTAGATATAATTTTTCCACTATGTGTGCGAATAAACTTTTGATTTGCTGCCTACTTCAACAAAAGGGACAACACTGCTATATATTGTAGGTATCTGCAAAATGGTTATATGTTGTATTTTTTTTGTTATTAGGCTTACAGTTTCAGTTCCAGAACATTAGTTATTCTGATTGTCTGTCTATAGAGAATTAAATTGCCTTAAAGTTCATCTCTGTTTGCAGGATAATGCAGTAGCATTACATAATGTATGTCTTGAGCTCATTGTTTTTATGAGAGCATACAGGCTGCATTATATAGATTAATGTTATTCACTATTGTGTTATTTTAGTTATACGGACAGAGTCAAGCAAACTGAAAAGCAGAATTGCCTTGAAGGTTTCCACAGGCATAAATTAAGATGTGGTCTTTTTGCTGTTCCCTAGAACAAAGTGCAAACTTTAAAATTACTGCAGAGGGCTGCTTTAAATCAGCTGGGAAAATTGGTGAAATTCGTGATGACATTTAGAGGCATAATTACCTAATTTTATCAGGACTTTGGTTCAGCAAAATGTGGAAGATATGGTTATTAGCTTATTAGCTTATTAACCATCAACTGATTCTGCTGAATAACAAGGACGTGTTTGCCTCAGTACAGAATGACTTTTATTCTTTAGAGCACAGCAGCTTGAAATATCTTGGCATTTGGTTTTTATTCAGATTTTGGTAACACTTTACATTGAGGTTAAATTTGTTAACTTTGTTCATTCATTATGCATTAAGTGCATTACAGAATTTACCTTGGTTCATGTTAATTTTTAATTAATAGTTTATTAATTAATTAAACTATTAATTTTAATAGTTAATATATGTTGAATATACATGAATTAGCAACAAACAATATTATATTGAAAATTAAACATTAACTTAGATTTAGGGCTGTGCAAATAATCAAATGCGATTTTTCATGCGATTAATCGGCAATGAATCGCCTTCGATTATGAAGGCGATTTTGTGTAGCTTGTCAGTGAACTACGGCTCTGTGTAGTAAATGCCGCTCCATCTGAAAGCACGTGCTGGAGATTTACTACTAATCACAGAACCGGCTTTACTGATGAGATGCGCATGAAAATCGCATTCGATTATTTGCACAGCCCTGCCTAGATTAATAAATGATGTTTAAAACTTGTTGTTTGTCATTGGCTTATGACGTCTAATGCATTACATGAGGCGGAGGAATTGAAACTTATTGTAAAGTGTTACTTAATTTCTAACAATTATTATTATTATTATTATTATTTTTTATTTTATTTTTTTTTTTTTTGAGGTCTATAATTAATAATTGAGGTCTCAATTATTTATTCTTTGGAGAAATATGTGATAAATTAAAGGTTCTAGTTGTTTTGTTGTGATGTTTTAATCTGTGTCCACAACGGCAAGTGTTTTGCATCAAAATATGTTATATCCGCTGTAGTGACTTCCATAAGTGTTTTTTGCAAAAATCCTGTCAGAATGGTGTGAAATTACTCCCCCCAGGAAACAACACTTATGGCTTGTTTGAAACCGCTCTAATGAGATGTCATACAGCTTCTTAGTGAGATTTTAGCAATTATAAGTGGTCAAGACTTCCCAGGGTCACCCCACGCTATCGTACTATAGCATTTTACTGTAGACTATCCACTTTAATGGATGAAATGACATCTTATTCTAATGCATGTGCTTTACCTCCTCAAGCTAACCTCGGAGAATTTAATCACGGCATAAAAAGATGATGAAATCACAGCAAGCAGCTCGGTAATCCTATTATTTGTGCGGTATCATTTATCGTTATGCAAATTTAATCCTCATTTAGTTTGATGCGTCCAATCAAGAGCTGTTTATCTTGCTGTTGATGATGAATTGACTCAGCTTGAAGGCCTTGTCGTGAGTGCTGTAGCTTAGACTTGTGGGTCTTGATCCATCAACCCTTTGGCTGTTTGCTTGTTTAGCCTGCGTTCTTAATCTGTCATAACCATTGGGATGGCTGTGAACTGCAAGCCAAAGATGTTATACCAATGACACTGTCCTTAACATTTCAGAACAGCTGAGTCAAAATAGGCCAGTAGTGCAGTTGTGTGAACATCCAAAGTTTGGTTTCAAGAAATGCCATTGAAATGTGACCTTTTTGGGCTTCGAATTGCGATTTGTCTCTTTAAATCTCACCCGACCGACCTCGTATCCTCTCACTTTGGTCATGCGTCACTGTCTGATGGCAAGTCGTCCCAAGGGCCTGTTGAAGCATGTCCTCCATCATTCTAGTGCAGGTGTCAAAGAGCCTTCAGGATGGGTCATTACACAGTAAGATGAAGGAGAGCAAGGCGAGAGGTTGGTTTCAGTATATTTAGATACATGTTCATCTTAAGGAATCTGTCTGTAGAGTTCAGACCTACATCGATGCCCAATCTTTAATCACAAAAAGTCCTAATAATGCGTAGCTGCAAAAATGCCCAATTTCAAGCCTCTATTGATATGAATGACAACAGACAAGTGTTTGATGTGCTGAATGTGTTAGCAGGTGGCTTGTGCTGAGTACTTTAATGGGGATTGGACAGAATGCTACAGTCTGCAGGGCTCTTTGTTGTAGAGGGTTTTCGTTTTAAAAGCCCCCTCTATTTCTGGACTCAATGGGCAAAGATCATTTTGAGCAGATTCTCTTGTTCTCTTTTTCTACCTTTTCCACAACCTTTCATGTTTTCCACCATTATTTTTTTAAATATCCATAATGAAGCAGTTGCTCTAAATCTTAAAAAATTGTCATGACTCAGTATAGACCCTTTTTCTGTTAGTAAACATTGTGATGTTTTTCTGTGGGCGGAGCTTAGATGGAGGCAGAAAGATTCCCCTGATTGCTTCACTAACGCTAGCTATGAAGTTTGTTAGCTTGTTTTTTTTAACAATGACTGGAGAAAATCTGATTTTATCTGCATATGTAAGGTCACTCACTGTCCGGAACCGCGATTGTTATTTGAAAAGGTTAACTTTAACGGATGAAACCAGATTGGCCTAGCCGTACACGCTACCTCAAAGCATGGACGATCTGACAGAATTACCTCCGGTTGAGTGACTCAAATCTATAGAGAAACCTAACGTGTATAGTAAAGAGAAACTCACATCTATATTAGAGAAACATAACGTGACAAACTCACCTGTGTCTATCTAGTCATGAAGATGTATATATATTTCAATTTCAGCAGGCAACTATTTTTACAGCTACATGAGAGTGAACTGGGCCAAAATACAAAAAAGTAAAACATTCAATGTGATGGATATATTATTTGAAGATGTATGTATCATGTAATAGCCAAATAGTTATTTTAAAGTATATACCTCCTATAAATGATGTAAGTTTACAGTGACATTACAATACCTTTACATTACATACAGTACATTTAAAGTATGTGAATATTTTCTAGAAATAAAAATTCCATAAACTGCTAATTTTGAACTTTCTATTTGATTATTCTTTCTTACCAAGTTCTTAAAAATTCCAGCGACAATCAATCACAGTACCGTACATACAATTACAGATGATTAAGCATATAAATCGTCAGTTTGTTGTTTTACACACATGCACACAGACATTATTTCATACACGACATAGTCGTGAGATACATAAGAAATCTTTAGACGCGTAACACAAACCATAATCCATAACAACAAAAGACAATACTTTTTTTTAATCCTTTTCTGATAAGTGTGCGCTGCAAACGCAAGCATTTTGATGATTGTTTCTGTCCAGTCCGCTCATTTTATCGCGGTTAACCACAGCTGTCGTCGTTTTTTTGTCTAGTAGAGGCAGCAGGTATGCATTAAAATCTCAAATTGGAGCCTGTATTACGTTGATTCTGGCACCCAACATCACAACAAGATTATATTTTAAACTCCTTTTGTAGCTGAATCTGTGCTGGTTTGAATTGGCCGCCTCCAGTTTTCGCTTTGTTTTGCCTCCAGCTAGCACTGTGACCTAATTGTGACGTCAGCACAAAAAGGGTCTATAGGGCTCAAGATGTATAGATAAAAAAAAGAAGAAAAATATGTATAAAATTTCTTTTTTAACACATTATTTCTTTCCATTGATCATATACATTTGTGTCTTCCAAATGTAAACATTTGATTTAGTGTGATGTATTGACCAAATTATGAAGTAATGATTTTCACTACACCATCATTTCTGGGAAAACTATGTATAAATTGATTTCAAAAACCTTTATTGTTTAGAGCTGCAGGGCCTTGTCTATTTCAATTGTATGTAGCCCATTTTATGTATTTATTGTAGGCTAAATTGCGTCTGTATTTATTACCTGTGCCTGGTCACTGTATATTCTGTGTCATATTAGATCTGTATCAAATATTCTTACGCTGTGGCATCAACACAGACTTCATCTACTTTCATTTCCTGCTATGATAAGGAGAACTTTATGTAATAAGGATGCTTAAATGTAATGTGTTATGCTGTAATGTTCTCTTGACTCTAGTGTACACGATGAGACCAGTGAGTCACGACTGATATATAGACAAGTTTTCCCCACACCTTTTCCACACTTGTGTGTATATATATATATATATATAACATTGTTTTATTGCACATGATGTAATCATTGCCCTAGAGACCAGCACTTTTCAGAGATACATTTCCTGTCTGTAGTGAGAGGTGCCTTGCACCCTGGTTGTGTGTAAAATTTGAGAATGAATCATTATGATTCATTCATGGTGCATTGGTAGACATAAACGACATCCTGAGAGAAGTCTACAAATATCATAATTTGTCTGTTAATTAAAGGATGCTATTAAATTATAATATAAATAAAAAAATGGTGATGTTGCACAGCTCGTTATTTTGCTAAAGGTCTTGAGTTTAAATATGCACATTTTTTAATGGACCAGGTAAAA